TAGGTTCACTGAAGTCAGTAGGTCAGATGGATGTTTTTCTGAGACGATTCAAAAAAGTCTAGTAAAAAAATGGCTATATTTCATTTAGATCTTCATAAATTTATAAATTTGACTTCAGTGTTTTTAGAGGTGTTTTGGTGAAGGCCTGCGTCACAGTGAGACCTAACAAATCAGCAGTCTGCTCCAAGGCAAAGTCACACCAGCAGCAAATTCTGTTTTCTCTTTGGCATGTTGATGAGCTATCTGTAGACAACACAAAGCGGCACTGTCCTGCAGATTGTGGATGCTGGCCTGAGGCTGTTTAAAGTATATCTCTACATCTCTTTTTTCTTTTTTCATATTGTTCTTATTATTGTTGTTGCTATATTATTTTTACAAAAAACAAAACAAAAACTTTCAGAATCTGTTACCCCCCATTCATGAGAAATTATGTTTTGGCCCGATTGTCCCTATTTTATCTGTATTTTTTCACATTTACGATTAATAAAATATAGATTTGTGAATTATTCTTTATAGGAATGTCCTTACTCCACCCTTGACTCCAGAACAGATGATCAAGATGTTTAAACTTACATAAGAAATTGTAATCTCATATTATCGTTTATTTTTTTTTGCATTACAGAGCACAATAATAGTGATAGAAGCCTACAAAAATTGAATGTGCGGTGTCTAACAGCAGCAGTGTTGACAGGTTTCTCTGGTAAGTCACCTCTAAGGAGGATCGCACATTCAATCTCCAGGAATGGAACAAAATAAAATTCTATGTAAGATTCTAAGTGTGGATGGGATGTAATGTAAATACATAAACTAATGTATTTAGAATAAAAAAGCTTTTTATTCATTTAATTGTATTGTATTTGTTTACCACCTGCAATGTCACATACTTTTTATATTGATGTAACTGAAGGAAAACTGGAAAAAAAAAAACTTGAGTTGACTTGTGTCATTACACCTCAGATCCAACAGAGCGAGCCAGAGTGCTCCGTTTGAGATTTTCCATCAAAGCATCTGTTCTTTTACTTCAGTAGTATAGCTCTACAATACTACAGCATTGAGTAGTGCAGCACTCTAGAAACGTCTGAGTGTGTAATATCAAGATTTCTTTGAGGTTTGAGTGAGCACGTATGCTTGATTGATATCTCTCTCACCTTCCTGTAGAGTTTACTTTTATCTGTAATGGGATGTGAAATGATCTTTACACATAGCCTATTTTTTTCCACTTTCTTTAAAGTACAGACTTGAATTTAAATGTGTTGTTTAACGTGGAAAGATTTTGAACTGTGTTTATGTCATCACAGACTCGGGCGTTTTCTGATTAGGCAACACGCTCTTGTTGTTTTACTTATACTCGAGGCGCTAAATGTTTGAGTGGAGGAAGTCTTTTCACAACAGTCATGTCATAGCAGGAAAATCAGGTATAATGAATAGCATAATTATGGTTCCATTTCCAGGCTTGCTCAATACTGTGGCTTACAAGGACATTTAAGTGGAACAATCTGTATGACGCGCCACACACAATCATTTCAGCAATTACATTTCATATGGAAAATGCAAACATGCAAAATTCAGCCTTGAAAAACAAAGTGGATCAGAGAGAAAGAATATAGAGTAGTTCCCGAGTTTTTTGCCTTATGATCCTTTAGTTACGCGTTTGTCAGTACTTGCTGTCACACTAGGTCTGCATTTTGTCTTATTAGTTTTACAAAAACTGCATTTTTCAGAAACCGGTGACACTTAAGTCTAACTAGCTTCAACAGAAACCTTACAAGTGATCCTGGCAAGCACACGAGCAGCACCAAAGTTCAACTGGTTCATTTTTTGATGCACTACTGGACTGAACAGCTGTAAGAATGAGGAAGAGGAGTCGTAGGAGTCTTGGTGGCCTCACGGTTTCTTTTTTTTGCATGATCATTCAGTTTTTAAGGATGGCCTGTTCTTGGCAGATCTATGCACGAGCTATATACCTTTCATTTCTTAATGATAGATTTAACTACGCTCCATAGGATATTCAAGGACCTTTTCAAGACACTGCTTGGAGTGTTCTTTTGTCTTTACGGTGCAGTATAATTCAGCAGTACTGATTCGGCAGCGAAAGGACACTTTAAGGTGTCTTTAGAAATGAAAATTATTCATCATTAACATGTCATGTACTTTAATTGATTGAACCAAACAAACTCATTGTGTAGCAGGATGTGATCTGTAAGACTTGTCTTAGCCTCTGTCCTGTAAGCTGAGTCTGCATGATTACCCACAGTGGCCGTCACTAATGCATAGGTACAATATTGGATTCATTTGTCCACAATTTGTCTGGTGAACACATCATGCATTCTTTTCTTTTAACACACCCTGCTGCACATTTATTCACCGTCTTACAAACACACATGTAGAAGCTGCTCTAAACAACCCGCCATCTCTCATCAACCACTGGATACTTTGAGGGCACAATGACTGTTAGTTGCTGGAGTGTTTATCCTTTGGGCTACAAATGCTCTCAGGTGCCGAAGGAGAGTGGGACTTGCATCTTAACTTACTGCGATCTCCGTGGTCAAGTTGAGTGAATGATAAGACAAGAAGAGCTGATGTTCTCTTTGCAATTTGCACAGATGCTACAAAAACATGTGAAAACATGGCAAACCACAAGAATCTGACTTTTTTTTTTTTTTTTTTGCACTTCCTAAATTGCCCAGTACGTGTCCCAACAGCAACACAGAATGCTTCATACAGAGGCATGCAAAAACAAATTCCAAAACTTCATTCAAGTCATTCCAAGAAAAGAAACAGTTTACCTGGTGCACATGTGAAGGTTTAAAAAGACACAGTGCTGAAGAGAACACAGTGCAGACAGCTGCAGAACAACAATACTTCCAAAATCCAGTCTCTCTTGTCACTATTCCATTTCCTGTGAATTTTCAGCACATTTTTTTATACTGCATGAATTAAATTACAGTTAAAATGCACCAAAAATGATACATGAATATAATTGAACAGAATTTGCGCTGTCCAGGATTATATACTTTATATGCATGTACATGTTTGCTCAACACTTTACTAGGGATGCTGACACTAGTGAATGTACTGTAAGGCTTTAGAGGTCTTATGTTTTCTGATAATAGCTAATATCTGAAATATTTAGTAGCACACTTGTTAGTTTAAAAATGCTGTGTAAGAGAGAAATTTGGTATGTATGTACATTATACTTAGTTGCTTCAGCCACATGTGACACAATTTGTGATGCCTTCAGAGATAAACGGGTGGTTTGTGGCTATAAATTAGACCGCATTTGATTTGTTCATTATCACACTTGGCAATCATTTCAGCAGTGTTGATCAGAGATCCTGCAGGGTCATGTGTTGATGTTGCTGGATGTGAAAAACCAGGTACAATATACCACTTCAGAACAGCAATAATTTACACCAACAATTCTTTTTTTTCCCTCTCCATCTCCTTCAGGGTCTTGTGTTCACTGCACTGTGTTGATGAATAATAACAAGATGGCAGCATAACAAAATGATTTGTGAAACTTCAGAAACATTCTGTTGTGCAGCTTGAGTGAATAGGTGATAAAATATCATTTTTTTTATTACTCTCGCAATCGCTTTTCAAATTTTGTGATACAAATTAGGGATAAAGCAAAGGGGGGGAAAAAAGGACAACAGAACTTTGGAGCAATGAACGTACTTTGAAAAAAAAAAAAACTTTATTAATTTAACAAGCATACAAAACAACAAATCCTTTTTTTTTTTTTTCAAACTACCAATGCGGTTTCAGTGCAATTCCAAAATATACATTTTCAGCAGGGCATGTTAATCAAAGTTATTCACGTCAGAAACAGCCATTTAAATAGATCTTTTGATTATCATTTGACAATTGTCCTAGCCAGAGGAAGCTCACAAGTGATACCTTCTTGAGGTAAAACTGTACACATCCAATCTTCAACATACAAAACAAAGCACTACACAATGAAATATTAAATACATAAACAAAAAACATAAGTACTATAGCACAATACGAACCAAAGTATCTGTAAACAAAGTCTGTAAACAAAAAGAAAGTATGTGGTTATAGATATTTGGTTTGTGGATTTAATAAATATCTATCGGATGCACTGTATGCTATCAGTTTACCACACAGACAGTATTTGGTGTGAAAGTGTAACAAGCTGTCAGTTATAACTTTAAATGTGACAGAAGTGGAAAATCTGGACCAAGTTTTCCTCTCATATGAGCGTTTTTCCACAACTAAAGGCTATAGCATAGATAAACACAGGGCAATTAACGTGAAAAAAGCCACTTCCTGTACCATTTTCTTTCAGGTGAGACGTGTGACATTCAATGTTTGCCGACAATACAGGCAAATCTCGTTCATTCCCAGAACAACTGTTACTTTAAGACAGGATCATAGCATTAGCAGGGCACAGCAGTGAAACAACAACATACATGGCACTGCCAAAAAAAGGACTGCTTTGGGTTGAAGTCCCTTGTGACTGGATGATTTTGAAGCTTGCTGAGGAGAAGGCCTGGTCTGATAGTAACGACCAGCTAACATACAGCATCAACCCAGAGCCTACAGCTACCAGTGGTTCATTGTCAGCAAACACAACATATCTGTAAGGCTAAAATACCAAATGTTGGAAGCTTTGTAATCAGTTGCACTGTTTAAGCTTCACAACAAATTACTCAAAAAAAGAATGAAATGCTTTCCTATAAACTGTCCCAAATTGACACAACTGTATATTTTAGATGGGTAGCCAGTCCTTAAGTTAAATACTGATATGTTCCATTATTCTTTGGAGTTCACTTTTTCGTTCTCTTCAGGTGCTACAGGTATTTTGCTACATAAAACTGAATGGTGGTGTAACAAAAACAGAGCGTGGACATTATCTTAGACTTCATGTTTTTAGAAATTTGCCTAAAGATCCACATCAAAAAAGTGGGATGTCATAAATCTAGACCTTAGTTACATTTTTCCAGCTCTCCTGTATCACTGACGCAGGATTTTAATTTTTTTTTTTTCTAAATCACTTCAGCTCTGAACAAAAACTCAATTTTAAACTCAGCTGCTCTACGCTTTTGTGGAAGCACACCCTGTTCACAGATTAGTACGTTAGTATGGGATACTGCTACAGTCGGATTCATCTGGGTGTTAAACACATACTGCTGCTGTCACAGGTGTGCAAACACTATATTAGCATATCCAAGTCTTATCACTGATAGAACATCAGATCGTAAGGTAACTTAAATTAAATATGCCCTTCAAAACCAAGGAACTTATATATATATATATCATTCAGTTATTGTGCTATTTGTCCAATATGTGGGATTTAAAAAGCACTAAAAAGTTTCAGTCAGCACCCATCCACACGGCAAGAATATAAGCCTTTAAGACATGACTGTTAATGGGAGCTTTTCTCATTACAGCATATTGAATGTGCAGATTATAACCGCCATTAAAAAGAAAAACAGGCGTATCTGGGCCATCTTATCTGAAAATCTGATTTTAACGTAAACAGTGTGAAAAAGCACAGCATTCACAGGTAAGTTCCACTGACACACTCTCAACTTCTCATGAGGCTGATCAAAACTATGAGCCCAGAAAAGTAGAACGCACGAGATTAAGGAGTCTACTTGTCCGTTATGTTCAGTTTACTTCAGCTACATGTTTGTTATAGCCCACGCAAATATATAGAAAAAAAAAAAAAGTGAAAAGAATATATCTGTGTGTCTGTGCTTTTAACAGTGAAAAGTGATTGGGAAAAGGCATGGTCACAGGTTAAAGGTTAATTAAACACTCAAATACAAGGACCAAGAACTTCTCCTGTGTTGTTCTCTGTGGGTTCAAACTTAAGACCAAGTTGTGCTTATAGCCACAGTTCAATCAAGGATATCACACCTGACATTTTCTATTAGGTGTCGAAGGCAAACACCTGCTGTGACATCACTTGTGTTCAGCCAGACGTGCACTATTGTCTAATGTTTCAGCCAGAACAGAGTAATACAGCAGAAGTTATCCGTCTTATATGATTCAGTGTTCAATTACCCTTTAAGGCTCCTTGTTTCTGTCTCATCCCATCATGGTTTGTACACTCTTTAAGCTCCACCACTCAAATATTGGTGCTCCAGGTCTCTCACAATGTCCGTTTCCCTGTCTACCTAATACACTCCTCCTCTGATGGGCTTTCTGATTCTTCATTCTCACTGTCATCTAGCTCAGGAAGATCTCCCCACAGAAGCAGATTCAGACCTGCAGACACATTGGAGAGTGAATTGTGAAGGCGCGTGAACGTTCAACAGACTGAAATTGCGTTGAATTCCAGTGTTATCAAAGGAAAGCTTCCACTGACCTGTCGCATCCAGTCTGTTGAGAGTAGATACAGCATCGCTATTGAACATCCAGAAATGGCCGTTGTTACAGGAGAGCAGGCAGGGTTTACAGGGGGCTACAACGTGATAGCCCACAACATTACCACTGGGAGAGGGAGGGAGAGAGAATAAAGAAGAAACGTGAGTCAGCACTTCACTAGGGGCACTTCTGAAAAGTGCTAACTCCACTAGTGTTTGTCTATTATCTAACCGATGTTTGTTTTTGCCCCATGAACAACAAAGCCTGGGGATACAAAAGAGGCTCTACAAAGCCTCACTGTAGCACCAAATTCTGCTTCAAGTTAAAATCTGACATAAATACTATTGTCATTCTAAACACATTTGCAGAGAGCTGAAACAATAACTTCACACTTATTCCACCATCCTCTACTAAAAATAATATTGGCAGGTATTTTAACAATTGATTACCTAACAATTTTCTACCAAAGTGGATTTACTAATAATTTGCAAGTTCTAGCCTATCAATTGATCAGATGTGAGAAGTTGCAGTTTAATATCTTTGTAAATTTCTCTGTAATTGTAATTAGCCTCTTCCAGTAATCACTAAAGTCCAACAAATCAACTAATTAATAAAATAAAAATAATATAAGTCTACCTTGAAAATAATTGCCATTTGCAGCTCAACAGCCGGACACAATATAAAAGGTACATTTGGTTAATTACATTAGGTACATTTGAAAAAAATGCTTGTTTTCTGTCTTAACTGGGGTTAGGTGTTGTACTTTAACATTTCACATCAGCAGATGGTCTTCCTAAAGCAAACCTTGTGGGTACAGAAGAGCTTTACATACCATTTGAGACATGCGATGTCTCTCAGTTTGCATTTACAGCTTTCAGTAGAGTAGCAGCTGGCCACAAAGTCAACAGTTCTTGGAGGTGGGGGTGCGTGCAAAGAGAATCAAACACAGCAATAAACGGCTGCAACACACACTAATCTCACATTTTAATATCAAAAACCATCAGTCATAGTTTGGGTGAAAAGTGTGTTTTTCTCTTCCCATTAAGTCAATATTTAAATATCAACTGATTGCAGGTTTTTGAAGTACACCTTGCCCTTCTAACAACAACAACAGACATAAACAAAGGTTAGCAGCAATGCTAGCAAAATTAGCACTTACCTATTTGGAGGTATATCGGTGGAAAAAAGCTCAACCTCTGTGTCCGCAAGAAGCACTGCCTTCATGCCTCTTGTGCACAGCAGACTCTCACAAAATATGCAGTTCACCTGGGTCACACACTTGTTCTTAAAATTTGCGTTGGATGTAGACATTGTTGCTCTGCTAAAATGGACGAGCTCTCTCGCTCTTTCTGCGTCCAGACACCAAATGCAGCAACAACAACAAAAAAAACAAGAGCCAGATCCTGATAGTCCTAAGTCTCCGCTCAATTCAGAAAAATTAAAATCGATTCAGATCAACTTTGAGGGAGATACAGATCGATGCAACGTCCTTGTGCAAACGTTAGCCTTTTTCCTAACGATGCAACGGAAGGCAGCTAACGTTAGCTTGTGGAACGAACACACGGAAGAATATACAATTCCGGAAGCGACTCTTTCGGAAAGTGCTGGCTGGCAGTATTAATGATGAATACACGAAGTCCGCGTAATACTAGCCTGTTTTACACAGCTAGCTCTGCATCCATTCAGACGTTGTTAACAGCTAACTAAATAGCTGTCAGCTTTGTTTACAACTTCCTGGTATTTAACGGCACTTCCTGAAACTATCTTTAAAAGACCCTACACCTCACTCTGATTGGACATGCTCCGTAGTAAACAAAGCCATTGGCCAGCTTCGTTACAAAGTATGAATTTGATTGGTTAGAAACTCGAATTGAAACGCCCTCATTCACAGGTCCTTAAAACCGACTGGTGCAATTAAATGTCACTCAAAATCCTTTCCACTGCTCGTAGTGTGGGAAGTATTTCACTTATCCTGTAAAACCAGGCGGGGCTATCGATGAAAAAAAGTTGATGCTTTGATATTACGGAGATGGGATGAATCTTCAATAAAATGCATTACTTTCTGGTAAAAGTTGTTCTATTTGGGTAAACGGTATAAGGTTTATATATTTAATAATAATATATTCAGCGAATGTGTAAAGTCAGTTTTGGAGCTAATGAATTGCTTGCTAACTGGCTACGGCTTCCAACTTTTTTGGCTAATGTAGGGCTAACGTTAGCTAACACGTGATTAGTCACGGTATTGGTTCGGCGTATACTCACATTTGCAGACACTTAAATTAAGTATGAGGACACATGTGCAATTGTAACGTGGCTTAAAGTTTGTACCACTTTTGTTAACTTTACCCACATCCACCTAGCTTACCTACAGAGTACACGAACTTACCAGTCTAAACTGATTACAAATGTGACCTCCCTGTAAAGTTGAGGAATGCTTCCTCTGTCTCACATTTAAACGACACTCACCTGGTCAAACCTCTGTTCTTCTACCCGCAGTTAGGGGCTTCCCTACCAGCAACAATCGTGGTTTATGTGTCCAAATGACTACTACTACCCACGTTTGCATCCATGCCTGTCCTGTCCTGCGCACTGAGGCTGACCAGCAGCAGCAGCAGCCAGCCCCTCCATCTCCACCGGGTTTCCTCTCCCTCACTTCAGGAGGGGGAAGAAGAAGAGAGCACTTCAGTTTGGGCAGGCGCACGGGCAAGCAGCGTGACCGAGAGACCCGCTCAGGGTAAATAACAGAAAGAAAACTTTTTGGGGGGGAGTGCTGACTGACAAGCTGTTTCTAAAGAACGGAATGAGTCTCCTTTCACTTGAAGTTGTTTGCACCATAACCGGTTTTGAGGAGGCGGTGAGGCGCGGCGGCGGATAGGAGCAGCAGCAGCAGCAGCAGCAGCGCCAAACTCACAATGCGCCCTGAGTGAGCAGAGGCAGGGAGGACAATACAGAGCCACGGCGACACCGAGGAGCCGCAATCTCTCATCTGGGCTCTCTCTCTATCTCTCTCTCTCTCTTTTTTTAAATTTCCAAAGCCGCCTCCAGAGTGGCGATTCCTTCCACCCCATCCATTTATTGATGAACTGAGAGAAAATTGACTTGTGTGGTTTTATTCTCCAAACTCAGCCATGACGTCTCCAGCGAAATTCCGAAAGGACAAGGAGATCGTGGCCGAATATGAAACTCAAGTTAAAGGTAAAAAACTTTTAAATGGCGTTGTAGATGTTATCCGGTAGCTCAAGCTGACTTAACATAGCGTTAAACCTGTGCTTTCTCACTATATGGTGTGTTTTCCCAGACTTGGCTGGTTGCATGGCTTTTTTTTTCTCTCCCCCTCCTCTGCACCCTCACCTCTCCTATCAGGCGCAGAGCATTGGCTTGCCTTTGTATTTTACCATTTATGAAGGTTAATTGTCATTATGCGGACGTGGCAGATCGCTGGTATATAAATAATTGCAATCATGGAGAGGACATCATGATCAGCGTGGCTCGCCTTTAAGGCAGCGCGCAGATGGCCAACAAAAGCAGGAGAGAGAGAGAGAAGAAAAAAAAACGCTCAGAAATCAGCGGTGTTTCCCAGATGTGGCCTCAACACGGTCTCTAATGAAGCCGATGTTGAAGGTGATGTGTGGATGTTGTGTACACTACCCAGAGGGCTGGAGGTTTCGACATTGAACAAGGCAGGGCGTTTTCTTTCCCCCCTTCTGTCTCCTTGCGCGTGTGTGCTGCCGGGTTTCGCGCTGTCGTCCGTCCACGCGTGAAGCTGCAGGTTGCAATCAAACGAGCAATTTGTTGCTATGGCTCGCTAATCGATCACAGTTCATTGGTGCCGCTTCTTGCTGATGATCAAGGACACGAGAGAGCAGCCGGGTGGGAGAGCGGATTGTAGTTGTTCGAAAGGGGCGTTGAGATGTTAACCGTTTATTGGCTGGTGTGTGTGTGAGAGAGAGAGTGTGTGTGTGTGTGTGTGGATGGATGGATGGATGGATGTTTGAGGCAGACACACTGGATTCAGATGTCACAGTGACAAGTTATCAGATCCATAGGGTGATGTGGTAGCTGCATACCTCAGCCTGTGGAGAAGAGGAAATGAGGTACCAGGAAGGAGCGGGGAAGAGAGGGATGTGGAAGAGGGAGGACAGGATATTATCCTCCTCATGAACAGCATGTTTGCTTTGCTACTGCAGTGCCAGATCACTAGATAAGATGGGCCACTGCTTTCCTCATCACTGCCGCTTCTCGTTTCTATTTCGCTACAAGACACCCACCGTGTCTCCATATTGTCCCTTTCACGGCATTCCTGCTGTGCTGCCCTCCCCTGTGACTCTGCTTGATAGAGCTGCAAGTCAGTGAATTAGTTTTGGAGCTACGTATTATAAATGTCACACTAGAATTTGTCCTGTTAATGTATAAATGACTAACAAATTAAAGGAAAGACTTGCAGAGTGTTCTACTAAGCTTAATGTGGCATGGAAGAGACTCAGAAAGTTTCTAGAACTTTAGGAATCAGCATCCTTCTTCCAAAAGATATCAATAGCCTGTTTGTTGAACTGAGATCCAATAACTGCAAAAGCCACATTGTATATTGGAGGTAAATATCAAGCCCATCATCTCTGGTACCTTCTTGCCCTGTGGGGGAGCATTTGAATTTTTTGTTATGTTTTTCTGCTGCATTCAATGTTTTTCTTTCATTTTTATTGTTGTAACTTAAGCATCAGATTACATCTGCATACAATCTGGGTAGAGGTTTGATTGGGTGACGTATTCCAACAGTTAGTCATGTCATTTTCACAAATGGACAGAACAATCCAGGGTACCTCGACTCAGCTCTCCTCTGATTGACCACATCCTCTTGTTTACCTGCCTCTTTGAAAACTCCTTTGGTTGTCACCACAGCAAGCATTAGTGTTGTTGTCTCCGTGCCCCTTTAGACTGCTGTTTATGCTCGGCGGCCTGTGTATAGGCTTTCTGTCCGTACCGCATTGTGAGGACTGTCTGCTGTGTTTGTCAGACTGGGGACTTAATGTTTGTCCATCGACCCCCTGCATTGATTTCTCTCGTCAGTTACTTCACGGCTTCCCAGTGAACTGCGCTACCTCTTCTCTCCTCAACCCGTCCACTCGTTCTTCCACGTACCATCTTCTCTACAAGGAATGAGCAGATGAAAGAGCAAATCTGTGTGTCCACATAGCTGTTGGTGTAGGTGTGTGTTTTTCCATCTGTGTGGAGATGTCTCCAGATGCTGCGTGTCTGCTGTGACATTCCCAGCAGTCTGCCTTCTCTAGGAGACATAGTCTGTCATTACCCTGTGCACTGCTGTTAGAGATGCTCTAATACAGGGTATCAAGCTGCAATACATGAAGCAGCTACACATCACATCTCTTTTTTTTCCTGTGTTTGCTGATGCGTGTCTGTCCGTTTTCCCAAATGTCCAGTTAGCTGAGAAGGACTCACACATACCTGCATGTGTCTGTTATCATCAGACAGCAGCAATGGATTTTACATGCTGCATCCACGCACTGCAGCATCATGGGGGGAATAAATGTAAATCCTCCCATGGATAACATTCATAAAGCTCTGCAGCAAGAGAGGGAGCTGCATGAACATTCAGATATGCACACAGACAAAGGCTTGACAAAGTTAATCAAGCACTTGATGAATACATTTACTTTGATTATTCAAGACCTTCCCTTTGCATATTAAGGACTATAATTTTGTGTTGGTTGTGTTTTCATATCCCTCCAAGTTGGGCATAGATGGAGCACTGCAGGAGCTTGTTGGTTGTTTTAGGGCAAACCTTTGTGCATGCTCTGGCTGCAAGACCTGCCTCTGTAGAACCTCTTTCAGGGCCTTTTTCAGGTGGAAAAAACTACAGAAAAATCCCCAACAGAGTTTGTTTAAACTCTGAAAAGACAAATGCTAACTGGTTAAACCCAGAGGGGACAACAAACAGCATTTTTCTGCCCTCTCAGTGTCCTCGTTTAGTAGCAATCACATCATGTTCAACGTAAAATTCACGATACAGGTCGACATAACAGCCATCCATTGTTCTATTTCCTTTATGAGTATAAAGACAAGAGTTACGTCCAGTAACTATTTGTCATTGTTAGTAAATTAACGTCAGTTTTGAAGCTATTAGATCTCACACTGCAATGAAAACAGAAACTGAAAGCGTGGATTAGGAGGCTGTTCCTGTAAACATTTGCGCCACACCGCACCTACCTACCTCAAGTTCCTGCTGTGCAAAGCCCCTCCTGTAGCACCACGTACCTGTAGCGTTCTGGCAAGGTTCCTTGGATAATTTGGTCTTTTATGATGGTATTTTATTACCCTATTGACTGTCTCACTCTAATTGCTGGCAAATATTTAACTGAATATGGCATGTCATTTTTCATGATGTGTCACACCTCCAGGTTTTGTGAAGGAAAAAAACAAAAACAAAACCAAAAGCTTCTTGTGAATAGAGACAATAGGTCCAGAGAGGTCAGAGGACACTACTGGCTCACCTGGTGACAGGGGAACTGAAGAATGCTGCTTTTTCAAATGCACATCGATGCTTGAACACCACCATCTCTTTCTCAGTCTGAGTTGTTTCACACAGGCAGAATGCTGATACTCTAATATGGGATTCTGGCTGATGCAAGGAATGTTCCTACTTGCTCAGGAGGAGGGTGTGTGTCTGTGGAACTCGAGAGACATACGGACAAATGATTGAAAGAGAGACGGAAAAGAAAATGAAACGCAACAAGAAAGAAAGAGAAAATGGGGTACATGTAAAGAGGGGGTGTTGTGCAAATGTTAATACACGTTGCTGAAATGGAGTTAAGGAATGCACTTATCATACCATTTGTAGTTCAGAGTATTTAGTGCATGTGGAACTGAATCCAGGACGCTGTTTTGCTTTGAGAGATACTCCAGATTGTTCTGTTACCTTTTTTCCCACAGCTTGAATAAAAGCTTTCCGATTCTCACAAGCTTATTGACAGGTAAACGAGAGACGTTTATAGCTGGTAGTTGTGCATCGACAGACGCTGCAAAGCCTACAATACTAACACTGATTAATTTAGAATGTTTTCTATCCACTCTGCGAGCTATACCATCCCTCATTTACCAATCAGTAAACTTCCCATGTTATTTCAGTGGACATTCAGGCACTGGGAGACATTTTCTTGACATTGTTTCATTTTTCATATACATTTTGGCTCAGCATCTCAGCATCTGCCAGTGTTTTACACATCTGGGAATGGTAGTAAGTGGCTGCCTTTGTTGCCACTGATAAATGGATTGTGGTGTTTTTGTGGTCCATTGGAGAAATGCACAAAGTCTATGAATGGCCATCTAATCTGATGATGTACCAAATAACTGTTATTGATTTTTGTACTAAATACTGTCAGACAGACACACACACACATACATAAAAGCACATGTGGGACGTATCTCCAAACAGCTGTAGACTGTTATAATTTTCCAGACTGCTTAATAGACTCGTTTAGCTCTGCAGATATGATGTTGATCCATCTCTGAAGAGGGATGAGTGCCTCTGGCCATAACCTGAAACTGTGTGTCTGCCTACGTGTACAATACTAAGCTGCATGT